ACACACACACACACACACACACACACACACACACCTGCAGTCACAGGGGCAGAGAGCTGAGTTTGTACGAAGCCAAATTAAACCTTCAGGGAAACAGACTGCAGCCAATCTTTCTCCATGTCAGCTGGAGGAAACGTGTGAACCGGAGTTAGCCGGAGGCAACAAAACGGGATGGCAGGGTGTTCTGGAGCTCAGGGTTTGACAGGAGACAGTCAGTTATGAGCTGAGGGAGGTTTTACTGCTGACAGACTGAAAGTGTAAATCAGTGCAGAAATTATTGGAGAAAATTGGATTTTTGACTCGTTCCTGAACAAGCCCAAAGAGATGTAAACGTTTAAAACCATCCTTCTGGGGATGTTTGAATTGATGGAGTTTGTCTTCTTTAAACCAGTTTGTTTTTCTAATAAAGAATCTSTTCCTGTGACCTCAGTTTAGCTGAKAGGTTCGGACGTTGTGGTCAAAGCAAACACAAKTCAGGAAAAAGGAGTGATTTTATGGTTGGATAAACCTAGAAGAGCTTTTATTAGGTTTTAAAGCTGTTGCAGGTCTGGCACCAACCTTGGTCTTGCCCAGCTGCCAGTCTGCACCGCTGCAGTCGTAGAGGTGCAGCAGCTGCTTGCAGGACCCTCTGGGCTCGTCTGAGACCACCAGACCCTTCATCAGAACCTTGTACCTGAAGACGGGACAGAAAGGACAGATTTGATTCACAAAGAGTCACAAAGAACCCACTCTGTTTTTAGATCTGTTATAAAAAARAAAATCAGTTTATATTAAATGTATATTTTTTCCCTCAGTGAACATTTTTCTAATGGTTTTATGGTCTTTATGTTCAGTTTCATCTCTTATTTAATAGAAGATGAGACCTAACTGAATTCTGGTCCCATTCATAGTCTCCCACTGAGTCCAGAGCCACCTAATCCTGTTAGAAAACAGTCTTCATGCTGTTCCAAACAAACCTGCAGCAGAAGTCCTGGAAAGGTCTCCGGACCGGGAAGCCGGTGCGTCTTATCTTGACAGTTTCCAGCATGCCGGAGTATCTGAGCTGGTTCAGAACCACCGTCTGGTCGAACTGGTCAGGCATCTGGATGGACAGAGTCAGATTAAGCTCAGTGTGTCCTGCAGCATCACATGATGACTGGATCAGGATGAAGTGTTTGCTTTGATAACTGTTACAGCATCACAGCTACTGGTTTACTTCCCATCAGTCCATCAGAACAGGGCTGGGGGGATTAATGGGGTCAGAACTGGTTTGAGTTCACGGCAATAAAAATCCCATTTTGGAAGTTTTCTGCAGAGTTTGTGAATACTGAGAAAAAAAATCTGTCCAGACTGAACCAAACTGATTCCACAGATGAAAAACAAAATTTACTCATTTTGCAGCTCAGATATTTTTAAAATGAGTTTATTCTTTTTGTTTGTGTGAACATTTTAAAAACCAGAACCACTGCAGGTTTAATGTAGCTTCTCTGGATCATGAATCATTTTAACCCACTGCTTCATTACTGCAGCAGTTRAAACTGTACTTTATCATCAAAAAGAGATTTAAATGTAAACATTACAGCAGTTTAGAATAGAATAGAAAATAAWAGAAACAGCCTTTACTGTRCTGCAGAGGGGACATTCAGGTGTAACAGCAGCATCAGTTAAAAAAAAACATATTGCTATGCACCAATAGTGGTAATAGAATGATTTGATTTGATTTGATTTGATTTATTTATTTAACAGGAAAAGATTATTAAAAATCAAGCCTGACTCAGCATAATTGCTGTTTTACAGCAGGTTCCTGTTCTGCAGCACATAAAACACTCAGAATTACAGCATCACAATCACATCATTATACACCATAGACACAAAGACAAACAAGCATACCAAATTTCAGGAAGGCAGCATTTGCAAAATAGGACGTCTAAATATGAGCACAACAAAAAGTGTCCAGCAGATGGCAGACAAGATTCTTCTTAAAGGGCTGTAGTTTTGAAATGGACTTTATGTTTTGAGGAATGTCATTCCATGCTTTAGTATAAACATAGAAGAAAGACCTCTGGCCGTAACAGTTTTTAAAAGTTGGTAATATCAGTTGTCCTTTTGTAACAGATCTAGTTGAATAGAAATAACAATAAAAATGTAAAATGAAAATAAAATACTGTACATGGCAATATAAATAAAACGAAATACTGTACAGGCAAATTACAATGAGGTGRGCAGATGAGTTAAATTAAGTCATTTCCAGTAGTGTGCATAATGTGCATGATGTGTAATAAATGTTATAAATGTCAGATATTTACAGTTAGTGTAAACAGATCAGTCAAAAACAGTCTGTGTTGGGAAAAAAAGGACTGAAATATGAAACTTCAAAACAAAACTGGGATTTTAAATCTGAAAAGCAAATGTATGGAAGAGGATTAGGGCCACTGAAAAAATAAAAAAAGGAATTCTGACTTTAATCTCAGAATTCTGACTTTAATCTCAGAATTCTGAGATTAAAGTCAGAATTCCTTTTTTATTTTTTCAGTGGCCCTAATCCTCTTCCGTACAAATGAAAAAGAGGAGACAAGGGTTGATAAAAAGAAGACACTGCTCCTCTTTGTGCGGCTGCATCCCGTCCGTATGCTAATGGTCTTTATGCTAACGAGGTCCCCCTGCAGCCGGTGGCAGCAAAGACCACCATTCAGTCAGGATCTGCAGCTCCAATGGGCCGTCAATGGCTGATGAGGGGCTGAATAAAGGGGGCATTACGGTCCAGTATGAAAGCTCCCACTCATTTAGAGCCCCCACCCCCCCCACCCCTCCTAACGCCCACCGAGGTTACAGGGTGACAGGAGCCCCCCGGAGGAGGGCTCTGACTGAGGCAGTTTTAAAAGCTGTGGTTTAAAACTTGTTGCATTTTTCTCTCTGATCAAAGATCAGTTTTATATTTCAGAACCACTGGTAAAATTATGACAGGTAAATATAATAAATCACCTGCAGTTTGCCTCCTGTTTCTGTTCTGTCAACACCATCATCAAAACCAGAGGACATACCACCATCACCATCACCATCCAGAACCTGAACACTGAAAATATAAAGTCCAAACAGTCCTTTGTGACATTCGTATTAAACGAGTCATTTATTGAACAGCCTTAAACTTCAGTCAGTTCTTCATGGTTAGAATGAATTATTTTGCACAGAACTGCCTTCATAAGCAGACAGACCACTTCAGGTTCCTGCTGGGGTCTGACAACAATAGCTGACGGAGGCTTTCACGAGCACAAATGGAGGTGTGGCAGTCTGCTTCCACAGGAGGCTGAGGAAAACAGCAACATAAAGGACTAAAACTCAATTCAAGACGAGCCGTCCATCCTTCAGCTTCAATAAAACACCGTCATCACAGTATCTATCATCAGCAAAGACTCCTCTCCTTCATTAATTCACAGAAAACACAACAGACTTAAAACTGTATTTATCTGATGACATTAACAAAGTTCAGTTTATCTCAGGGGACAAAATCAAAACTGATTATCAATTCAATTAAAAACAAACCAGACTCTATTAAAAAACCTCATTAATTCTAATCATCCTGTCTTTTATCTACATTTAGAACAGAGCTGTTAAACCCAGTTACACCAGGGGACCAAACCAACGTTTACTGGAAAATGTTTTATAACAAATTATTCTTAAAATAATATAAATTACCTTCATCAAATGATATAATATGTAGCATTTAGAACACACCACCTAACAAAGAAATAAAGATAACATTTACTCCAGCAAATCAGTTAAAAAGAGAAAACCCTCCCTAAAAATCCAATTATTTGACTTTAAAATAAGAAAATGACACAGCAAAAGGTTATTTAAATTAAATACTTTGTTACTCTTTCAGCACCAAAATTAAAGATTACTGAAAAATTCATTCAAAACTTCCTTTTTTTTTGGCTTGAATGTTGAAGAGCTGTTAAAACAAGAGTGCACTAAGTCCAGGGACAAAAACAGAAAACTATTTGGCATTTAAAGGTCCATCTTTGGGGCCGCATAAAATGTTAAAGTCTGGGTTTGGCCCCCAGGCCTTGAGTTTGTGATTTAGAGCAATTACAAAAAAAAAAACTGGTTGATTTTGTTATAGTTTGGAGTTCAAATGTTGCCATAAACATTTTCCACATTCAAGCAGTACTGTTGAAAACAGCAGAGGAGCAGAACAGAACCAGTGGAACTCACTGGTTTGATATGAAGTGTGTCAGAGACCCAGTCCCACAGCTCAGACTCATCAGTCCACTTCCCTTCATGTGCCGACTGTTCAGGTGCCGTCACTACATCACTTACAGAGGCAGGTTGACACAGCTGCCTCTGACCTGCAGTTTAAAGGTGCTGCAGGTGAAATCTGCAGGTGAGGTCAGCAGGTTGGTTGAGTCTAAAACTGGTGTTTTTATGACTGTTTCAGTCACAGAGAAACTTATTCCCTCTGGAACAAAACATCTGTTCCCTCATCCAGTGACTTTAGCTTTAATCGAACATAAAATAAATGGTGAAGTAAATACATTTTAATTTAACATCACAAATGAATTAAGTGGATAAATAATTCATTTTTAACCAGAACTGTAATCCCATCAGGAAGAAAACAAACCTCCTCTTCATTAACATCTCATTTCCTAAACACTCTGCTCCTTCCTTGTTTTCAGTCTCCTTCATTTTCCTTCCCTCAGGCTTGATTAAAAACAAACAAARAAAAATAAACTCAAACACTCAGACGGCATAAAGTCTCAAATGTCTGTTCCTCCCTTTTAAAATTCAACGTGCATCGATCYCTTCAGGACCAAAAACCTTCAAGTTTAATTAAGAAGACGACAAACAGGAAACACCGGAGGGACGGAGAGCAGGGGGACGCATCGTTACACCGAAATAATGACAACGAGGAGGGGGGGCTCAGGTCAGTCCAGGAACATGATGGGTTTACACCTGGACTGGGTTAAAC